TTCCCTTGTTCTGGTTCCTCCTTCCTTCCTCTCTTGTACTTCCCATTAACTTGTTACCTACCCCGCAGAGCCATTTGCATTTTCACAGACTTCTTGTTGTAGGTTAGCTTTTTTTCTGCTTTGGAGAACATGTAATACCAGCAGTCTCCCAATGCCTGAAGAAGGGTGTTTGTGCCCAAAAGCTTGCAAAGAACATTTTTCCAACTATTTAGTTGGTCTAATAAAAGATCACATCTACCCAAAGAACCTCGCCGTATGTACCTGGTTTGCAAATTGCTTAATCTAAAATAAAGTCATCTGTTCAATATGGAGGTAATAACTTAATTTAAAGCAAAATCCAGCCTGAGGGATATAATTTGTATTGCCTTACACCTTATCTCTAAATTTGGCCCCTTAGAGAATTTTCTTCTTTCCTAGAAACTGGACCTTGCTGAAAATTTTGTAATCTTGACTTAGCATTTACCATTTTATTGTTGTATTTTCACACATCCCTGCCCTTCTAGCTTCCAGATGCAATTAGAAGACTCCAAAATATCACAAAACCATCTTTACCCGTGGTATTTCTGGCCTGACAATATCAGAAAGCACTGAGAAACTTGGAAGATAGCCTGAATTGTACAAGTTCAAGAGGTTCAGAGCACTTGAATGAACATACACATTCTTGGATGCTTATTATCTGTCTGCACTCCAAGCCTTTTGAAGTCTTTCCATCATTAGTTACTAGAGTGATTTATCATATATTGAGCTGATGGACACCTGCAATAAGAATAATGATGATAATGATGAAATCTCCTTTCTGCAGAACTCAAACCTTGAAGGCCTCCTTTGGGAGCCAAGTAGATGAGAGAGCGAAAACCAGAAATTTCAAAGGCACCAGAAGCTTTTGAATAACAAAGAGAATAAATAAAGCTCCAAACACCCACCAATCTCTTCACAATTGCAAACTACAGAAGAAGCCTCAAGCCCTTAATCTCATGGGGAAAGAGATGCCCTGCTATACTTTAGTGTATTTAAGCTATACCTGCTGTTGT